AAAAAACAATAATAAACTTCATAAAAAAATTTTTTTTTTCTTTTTATTTAAATTTTTTAATTTCTTTTCTTTTTTTTTTTATTTTTATTATTATTTTTATTTCTTTTTTTTTTTTTAATAGGTAAATTTTATTTAGTGAGGTTTGGGAAATGTGTCTGACTTGAGTAGGGAGTAACAGTGCGAGAGGGCATCCACCAAGAAACGTGATCAGGACATAGTGTGAAATCTAAGAATATTGCTTAGCAAGGAATCGTTTAATGATGGTGGAAGATAGTTTGATAGTGAAGCATAAATATATATTCGCGGAAATTATTATTACAATTTAGTATAAATTGGAAGAAATTGTATTATTGTATCAGCATAAACATCAATAAATAAATAACCATCATTGAAGTTTGGACACGTTCTCACAATATACAGTACATTCATATATAAATTATATATACAATAATATATTCAAAAAATATACATCATATAAATACATTTCAGTATTTTTTTTTTGTTTGAGAGAATTTGATAAATGATTTAGTACAGTGATTGTATGCATAATAATAAAACCGGTTGCCCGAAATAAATCGGTTTTATTATATCCGGTTTATTGAATATGAAAAATAGGAACCGGTTTTAAACCAATTGTACCCAAACCGGTCCCAACCTCCAGATGACACAAGATTATGTAATAAAAAAACTTTTTAAGAAAATACAATTATTCAAAAATCCATTTCTATTGACAATCAGGAAGAATATCAAGAAAAAAAGGTTTTCTATTCAATTGATGGTTTAAAGCTAATGGATGGATTTAAAAAGATAGTTATTGATTGACTCAGAGAATGAAATCAATAGTAGTGTTAATATTGGTAAAATCATTAAAAAAATACTACACCAATTTCGAAAAATTCCAGAAAATGATATCATTGAAAGTAAAGAAATCACATATTATCAATAAATAATAAAATAATAATTGAAAATGATGAAATCAAAAATAATAAACAACAAAAGAAACTATATACTAGTGTATAAAAACAGGTTCTAAAAATATTACTTTGTGGTGGTTTTTATTTATATATACTTGTTGCTAATTGTGGCAGGTAAGTAAAAATATTTAATGAAGCAAATAAATAATAATAATAATCTTCCCTAATTCCAATAAAAAAAAGTTAAAAAAAAATTTGATTTGTGTTTTTGATCATTTTAATTTTTATCAATTATTTGAAAAATTTCTAATTCATCAAATATCCTACCACCTACTAAATTGATGTTACTATAAGTACTACTACTATTTTGTCCACTGTAAATGACCTTATCTGAATTAAAACACAAATCATGAGCACTACCAAAAGTAGGAAGGTAACTTGGATTACAAAGTATTGCATTTTGTTGATTCTTAATAGGATAACTAAACTGTGCAGTACTGATATCCATTCTATTGCTTATATTAAATATAAAACTATCATTTGTATTTTTATATTGGTTTCCATTCCAATTAAGTGGATTATACCCACCAACAATTTTCTCAGTGTTTTGTACTTTGGCAACCACAAGAGTTTTGTTAATATTATCACATTTTTGATGAAAAATAGCTGCACTTAAACCATCTCTACTACTACAATATAAAAGTTTAAATTCGTATTTAACTTTAACTTCTCCAAATAAAGTATATGGTGGATTCTTCCTATCAATCCAACTTGCAAAAAGCAAAATAACCTTTTTTTTGATAATTATTGTTGAGTTAATTTTTGGAGGAATTCTTGATGGTAATAAATTTAAAGTTTTCTGCCTACCAGGGACTAAATAATATTGTAAAAGATTTTTCCATTAGAAATATCCTGAAATCAAATCAAAGGAATAAATTCTTTTAATGTCTTTTCAAAATCTGCAAAGTTTTGCAATGACCAGTCTTCAACATTACTATTATTGATTTCTGGATGTCTTTTCAATCCCCATATAAGAATATGTTGCCATACAATTGTTTCATCCTCAACAACAAAATCATCTGTTTTGAGAATTTCCAATATAATTGGTTTTTCCAATGATTCAAATTTACTTGACTGAAATAATTTTTCTATATAATCCCCATGTTTCCTGATAAAATATTTCATTGTGTGTTCAAAGAGTGACTCAAGACCAAGTTCATGAGCTGTAACTAATATTTCCACAATCTCAACTCCAGTAAAATTGTCTAATTCAATTTTACAAGTATATAAAAATCTTTTAAAATAAAATAAAAATATTGTTAATTATCATTATTGCCATTGTTTTATATATATAGAAACAAGGACAACATCAATAATGATTTTGAGTTAAGGTCACCCCTTATATGCAACTCTTTAGGCGGAATGGTTTTGGCTTAGAAACCATACCCATTTTTGCATAGTAAATTTTCCCAATAATGGCAAATCCCTTAAAATGCAGAACATTCTTTCAAAACATCATTTTCAACATTGTCCTTGTTTCTATTGAAAAGCTCCATATATTCGATTAAAAAACAAATACAATATAATATTAATTTAGTAAACTTACTTTAGAATAGGTCTAAAAATTAATTCACTAATATTTGGTTTTCCAATAACATAATAACCATTTGTTTTTGTTGCATTGGTTAAAGCATTTCTAAAAAATGGACAATGAACTTGTAGAATGAATGAATGTGCATGAATTTCTTTAACATTTGGTTTTACACCAACATTGATCTTTACATCGCTATTCTCTTCTGAATTTAAAAATCTTTCATTTTCATTAAAGTATTTTTCTAATATTGTTGAATCCATTTGTTATGTTATTAATTATTATTAAAAATTTAAAAAAAAAAATTATTGTAAAAAAAAACAAAAATCATGTTATATATATACATAATCGCCATAATTAAATGCAACGCGGATCAATTTTCCCACACTAATATTTCTTGGTATTAGTGTTAATCTAAAACACGTTGTAAATATACCAATTTTTTCAATTCCTCTACTTTTTCTTCAAGCTAAAGCTATTTGCGAGAAGTAAGTTAATTTTAAACAATTTAATATTAAAGAATTTAGTTGAGCATTTCTCTTGCATAACTAGCCGTATATCAGATTATCCATCCTTGTATGGTTGCAAGTTTGAGTACTCAATTTCATCCAACAACTCTTGTCAGTATTACAGCCAAAAGCACTGAAGTTAGAGTTCCATAATAATAATAAATTAAGAAACTGGATAAACATCATTTTAACATTTAGGCGAATATATTCTTTTTTCCATGTTAACTTGCATATTCAATGGGTATTATTTATTTATTATTATTATTTTAGATAAAAAGGAATCCGATCAATCAAAACATTATTTTAACATTTAGGCAATAATCTTTAAAAAAAAATGAATGCTTCTGACCTAGTGCAGAATAACCAATATTTAAGTTAGCCTCTTCTTTTAATTACTGTTAGACTCTATAATTTTATATATTAATATGAGAA